AAAACTAGAACTTTTCAAAAGGTTGGCCAAGTTCCTAACCGGATAAGGGCAGGTGCTACTTCAACCACGACCTTCATGGATGGGACATGGGAAACAAAAAAAAAAAAAAGGAGACACGAATAGGAAAAAAAGAAAATTTACGAAATAGGTAGTCGCACTCACAAATATCAATGTATATGTGTATCTATCATGTAATAACAGTAGCAGGTGTCATTAGCACGTTCGCAGCTGAAGGATGACACGCATAAATACATTTAACGATCCCCAATTCGTACAAGTTATGAGGGGGGGAAAACAAAGTAAAAGTCACGTGTGTGATCGGGCCGTCGTTCATGGGCCTTTTTTTTTTTTTCTTTCCCCCAAAAAAATTTCCCCAGGCCCGGGAGTCCCTGCTTCTCCTCCACCCTCTTTTTCCCCCCCCCCCCCCAAAACGGCCATGTACTCGACTTTTTTTTCCCAAATGTACTTGACAACACCGCACGGATCAGAGACACGGAGCGTTATTTGACGACATATCAAGGGGGAATATAATAAACTACCTTCCAAAAAAAATAAAAAAAGAGGCCATTCGACGACATATCAAGGGGGAATATAATAAACAACTTAAAAAAAAAAAAAAAAAAAAAAGAGGCCACGTGTGACTGGCTTTTTTGTTTTCCCCGTCGGATAACGTTCAGTGGCCCTGCAGTGACACCTGATCCATGCTGCGTCGTCGAGTAAATGCCCGTTTGGAGAAGAGAAAGAAGGAAAAGCCGTGAGAAAAAAAAAGACAAAAAAAAGCCCCATGAACGAGAGGCTCATCGCAGGTGGCAGACAGGCCGATCAGACGTTGTCCCCGTCCTTCCTACCACCCTCCTTCCCCTCTCCCCCTGGTCCTCCCGCCGCCCCTCCACCCGTTTCTTTATCCGGCTCCGTTCGAACGACGTGACATGGCAGACAGGCCAGTTTCCCGTTGTCTTGATCGTTGGTCTGTCTGCCATGTGTTATCGGCCCCTCATTCAAAGGGGGGGGAAAACAACATATCAACGGGACGAGGACATATCAAGGGGGAAAACAAAAAAGGCAATCACACGTGGATTTTTTTCTGTTTTTCCCGGGAAAACAAAAAAAGTCGATCACAGCACAGGTGCTCCCCTTCCTCGTCTTCCGGTCGTTCTATTGCATGACATTTCCGTTCCTCCTTGCGTTCCTCCTTGCGTTTCTCCTCCCGTTTCTCCTCCCCTTTCTCCTCCCATTTCTCCTGGCGTTGGGCTGCCTGCCACGTGTGATTAGCCCCTCGCTCAAGTGGGAAAAAAACGATATCAATGGGAAGATGACATATCAGGGGGGAAAACAAAAAAGCTGATCACCGGTGGTCTTTTTTGTTTTTCCCCCTGGGATGAATGAGGGGGGATCAGAAGTGCTCCTCCTCTTCACGTCCTTCAATTGCAGGGCATTTCCGTTACTCCTCCCGTTTGTCCTCACATTGGACTTGTCTTCCACACGTGTTCGGTCCCGCCAGTGGATCAATCTTCCTGTCACTGGTGCTGGAGCAAGGCGCACCGCCTCTGCTGTGGCCGCTATACCTCTTCCAACGTGAGGACAAACGGATGGAGAAACGGAAGGGGAGACGTGTCGGACAGGCCAACGAGAGGACAAAAGGGAGGAGAAATGGAAATCACATGCTATAGAAGGACGAGAAGAGGAGGAAGGGGAGCCACCTGTAGGACGAGAACTGTTGAGGCTTCGCAAGCTGTCCAATGGCTGGCCTACGAGCGAGAGACGGAGCTGGGACGGATTACTACGGCACTACGACAGGCAGGGGACGGCCTGGGACTGCGGGTGGGGGATACCAGGACAGCCTGTGACCGCACGGGATGGCCTGGGACCACGGGTGGGGGATACCGGGACAGCCTATGACGGCACGGGACGGCCTGGTACCGCATCGGCCGGTCATCACCGCATTTCCCAACTGGGGGCCTGACATCACCGCTTGCCACCAGTTTTTTTTGCCTTTTCCAACGGGATAATTGGTAGAAGGCGCCCACGCCAAAACCTTTTCGGTTTTGGCCGCCCAAAGTTCAGCCGTTTGGTACTATCGGTCCAATGTCTTCCATCTGGGGTACTAGAGGCCCACGCGCTCCTCCAAGGGCCCTACTGGATCATGAATCTGGCACATAAAGAGGGCCAGAGATTCATTTTGATGTAAAAGAGGCCGAGGGTGGTACCGCTGAAGGATAGAACGAGGCCCACTGCCCAGGTACCCTATTTTGAAAAAGAAGGGCCCTACCAATCATGAATATGGCGCAAAAACAGTGCCAAATTCATCAACCGGTAAATCCAGGCCAACGGAGTTGTGGCCACGGCGAAGGTGCCTTTCACCCAGGCTGAAGACATCTGGGCCGGTAGTACCAAACGGCCTAACTTTGGGCGGCCAAAACCGAAAAGCTTTCAGCGTGGGCTCGTTCTACCAATTATCCCTTTTCCAACTGTGCCCTTTCCCTAAGTGCCATTTCATGTTGTTTTTTGCCTAGTGGAACTTGAAACCTACCGCGTCCGCAGTTCTTTCTTTCTTTTTTTATATACTCAGTTTCAAGGTAGACTGGTACTGGTACCTTGGGGCGAAGTCCCACTTACACCGTTGAGTTGAGCCAGCTAGCTCAACGGTGTGAGAGTCTTTTGCCATTTTCTCATTCTGAAGAAAATTTAATGTCGAAAATGAATTTAAAATGTAGCACTCTACGTTGTGTGTGTGTGTGTGTGTGTGTGTGTGTGTGTGTGAGAGAGAGAGAGAGAGAGAGAGAGAGAGAGAGAGAGAGAGAGAGAGAGAGAGGCTCAAAGAGCAAGCGCTTCACATCTGAATCCCACGAAGGAGAGAGAAAGGACGTCCATGCAGCACTGAATGCGGCCACAGCCTATGCCCATATAGACACTTGTACATTGGCCACAGCCTGGAGGGCTCCCTGATCCTCCATGCATCAGTGGGCAGCTGCACTTGTGTGCTTTGTCTCCAGTAATTGCCTCGATATCTTCAAAGTGAGCCTGTTGTCCCCTTCTGTCTCAGTACCGTACACATCTCACACAGTGACACAAGTGCATCTATTACATAATATGTAAATTCTACTTCTGCTTCGAATCTCTCTCTCTCTCTCTCTCTCTCTCTCTCTCTCTCTCTCTCTCTCTCTCTCTCTTACATAATATGTGAATTCTACGTTGTCAACTGGCCGGGCATGGCTGTTGAGCCCAGCGAGAGTGGTGAGAGGCCACTCTCAGTTTTCTCTAATACAATTATTTTCTAAATGGTTCTAACTTCTGATCAATGAAAGTGATAGATTCGCCTCGAGGGCCTGCGCCTATGAATCCCCCCCAGCGGCGGCCATGCTCGGTCGAGGCCGCGGCTGCAGCCATGAAAAAAAAAGGGGTAACTTGGGCGCAGTCACGAAAATAGTTCACGAAAATAGTTTGTAATTGCATTCGAAACACCGATTTCGCACTTTAGTCAGGGGCCGAGTTTCAATTGCAGTTGAAACTCGGCCGTATGCAGTTCAGTCAGGGCCCTTGTCTATCCACAAACAGCAGATTTAAAATTGAAAAAAAAAAGCATCCCTTATGCTGTGATTGCGGTAATACAGGATGCTACAGTACTTGTCTGGAACTGAACGAAGAGAGGCAGTTAGCTGCCTCGCGTGAAATCCGCCCTGCCTGGCTGGCAGGGCGCTACAAGGACCTCACAACAAATAGCAAACAAAGGAAACGACATGTCTCACGGTCCTCACATACTGGCCAGATATATTCCTTAACGCACTGGTGTAACTTCCACCTAAGTGGATTCATAGTTCCTCCTTTCTTTTCTTTTTTTTTTTCTCTTTTTCTTTCCTTTTTCCTGTTTGGCCTCCATGATCCCTCTGAATTGTGTAGGGCGGCCCCTCCACGCCACATCTGGGCCGTGGCCAATCTGGGGTGTAGCCGAGACATCTGGGCCGTGGCCAATCTGGGGTGTGGCCGAGACATCTTGGTCGTGGCCAATCTGGGGTGTGGCCGAGACATCTCGGCCGTGGCCAGTCTGGGGTGTGGCCGAAACATCTCGGCCGTGGCCCAACCATGGGGATTTTTTTTTTTTTTTTTTCTGGAAAAAAAAAATGTTATGCATAAAAACAA